TGGAACTAGGAAAATTTCTTTCTTGTTTTGGTTGGCGTCTTAAAAACGACATGTCTTTTTTTTTAAAGTGGAAGGGAAATTTTTTTCGTTCTAAAGGGCTACATTTTTCATGCTGGGGGGCCGTGTTTTGTTTACGCTTTTTTAAGCATAATGATGCGATATTAATTTTTCAGTACTTTACGACAAGAAAAACGAAGATGTTTTTTTTTTTTTTTTGAAAAAAAAAAAAAAAAAAAGATTTTGATACCGTTTTGAAGAGAATTATGCTTAAAAGAGGTCGTTTTTCTCAAAAAAAATTATAACCATATTATAGCTATGTAGTTGTTTAATCTACAACAATCCAGAAACTAAAAACCCCCTCTGAGTTTCCTATCAGGTTCTTTTTACCTCAGTTTAACTGTCGCGTTAGCATACTTGTTTGCTCCACATGTTTGGTTTTCATACATATATACATATATATATATATATATATATATTTTTTTTTTCATTAGTGCTGCGCTATTATTTCTTATTGTTGCATTACGGCATCAAGAGTAATCTTAAGCTCGTAAATTGATAAACTACTGCCGTCATAACAGACCCTGGCACGAAATTCTTTGGACTACTAATTTTATCAGTATTCCATAATAGACTTCAAAGATTTTCCTTTAGAATAATACACAATTTCCCCATAAGCATGAAAGCGAGGCCTAAGGACCATTAGAGTTTCCCGCAAACTTAGAAAAAATTTAAAAAAAAATTGGGCGGCAAAAACCAAGAACAATTTGTGATTTATATTAGAGATTAAAAATTAACCCAAAAGATATTCCTGGAGCAGTATACTAAGTGATGAGCGTCCGTTGGAAAGAGGACGGTAGATGAAACGTCATCGGAACGAATATTACAAAGCAAAGCAGCAAATTAAGCATTTGTGAGAACTATTTCTTGTCGTAGTTGTAGGGAGCGCTTCTGCCACTTTATATACAATTGCGATGTGGCCTTTTAGAACTCACTTTCATGCTTACGTCGTAAGTGTGTATGGAGACATAAGTCACATAAGACTTAAAATGATGTATAAAAAAAATCATTAAGAACTTTCCTGAGGAACGGTTTTGGGGATGAAAAATCTAAGCTTGTTAACAGATGAAAATCTTCGATACTAAGATTAGTAGTATATGTCTGACTTAAAAAAAAAGCGCCTTATAGCTTAGAAAATTTGGCTGAAGCTAGCGAGGATAAAAAAAGTTGCCAATTACATACAGAAATCACTTTGTCGTAAAATAGCCATTTCCCGAACCTCTCGATAAATTGAACTGAAACCTGAGATCTCCCTTCCCAGTCAAACTCCTTGATTTAACAGTCTACCTTCGAAGCTATTGTACTATTTCCCGACAGCTAAACGATCGAATTTCCTTTTGCACAGGAAGTTCGAAATATCGGAATCATAGAGGGAGTGCACTATATTTTCTAAGATACTGAAACTCCGCCACTAAAATTTTAGTCCTATGGATTTTGCTACGCCATCGTGGAAGAGAGCCGCTAAAGCTTTATGTGCTCTACGATAGATTCATTGCCAGACTTCTTAATTAAGTAAATGGATTAAAAAAGCCGTTTCATATGATTTTATATTGTGTTAAATTGATCTCAGATCAACTGAGTTCTTGTTTGCTTTAATTGGAATCCTTACCAGTCCGCAGTTCTTCTTTCGTTTGTACTTGACTGTCATTTATGCTGATCGTCCACCTGTAAAAGAGAAGAAAATATAATTAATTCACGCAAAGGTCAAGTTACTCTTTGCATTCAGTTTGAAAAGTTGATGTGTGAAGTATGTAGTTTTCTAGTTATGAATACATTCGGTCAGTCTCTAGAAGTAACCGATAAAGGACCATAACATCTAGGGAATATGCACAGCAGCAGAGTTCACCCGCTACTCTCCATTATAGGAATAGACGATCCAATTTCCCTATTTGGCTCACTCTTCCGTTTTGGGCACTCAGTAGCCTTTTGTATTAAGTCCGTTTTAAATGATTTCCCCTCCAATCAGTGCTAATCAAGGAAAATGACTTATTTTCAATTTGATACTAGAATCAAACGTTTCCCTTAAAATCTTGGAACCTTTGATTTCAATTTTTTAAGGCTACAACTGAAAGCGACGTTCGTTTTTTACCAAACGGCTAGAATTTAGTAATAATTTATTCATTTTCGAGTATTAAATCCTGTTGCCATTTATTGTCAATTGCTGACGCGTGATAGTTCTCAACGATACATTGTTTTGCACGTTCACAATGCTCAAGTAATACGTGTTGGACTTAGTTATAGGGCTAATAATGTTGCTGAAATCTCTAAATTTTGTGAGATTAAAGATCATAAAGTTGAATAGAACCTAATTTAAAAGCGAATTAAGTTCATAAAATCCTCATATCCTATAGACTTTTGACTCAATTAACATTCATTAATTGAAAAAAAGTTGAGTGACAAAAAAATCATAACAAAGAAGACTTATGGAAGTTTCTCAACGGCAGACTGGGGCTAAAACTCGCTAAAATCCCGCTGAAACGGCCAGAAATGCTAAAAACATACCATGAATAAGACAAGGAGGCAAGGTAAGAAGTTTTCATGTATTTTTATTCCTATTTTAGTGCCCATAATAGCGATCGTTAAAATCCGCATAGAAAATCTAATTTCAGTTACGCCAACGATTCTCACTGGTGAGCTTGGGATACCTGTGATTAAAGTTTCGTTAAAGTAACAGTCAGGCTAATGCGAAGTTAAAAAAAAAGGTTTTTAATCTGGTTAATTTTTCGGAAAACCATTTTCATAAAGACAAACAATATTCCGGCCAAACCGAGCTTCTTTAGATTTGCAATTCTCGTTGTTATGTGTTATTTCTTTGTTAAAAACAATATATAGGGGACCTGGGGCCCGTTTCTCGAAAGTCCTGATAATTAAAGCTAATTAACGGGCCCGGTAAGCTGTCTCCGTTTACATTAAAGACCGAGGTTTCAATAGTTTTGCATCTAACACGATAAAACTGTCAGTTAATGAAACAAAATGGAGTAGTTTGCTAGCCAGGACCCGCGCTCTTATTCTTTATATTTCGATTTGAATATTTGATTTCGGGCCCGTAAAGTTACCGGGACTTTCGAGAAACGGGCCCCAGTTCCTGATATGCAATACGGCCACCGTGGAATGGTATACCGGTCTACGTGAAAATTATAATCATTATGTGATCGCAACTTAACACGGACGAACGTAAAGATGAAGCTTTCTATATATCGAGAAGACGGCTGAAACAAAAGGTTTTGACATGCCATTATACAGCTGTACATGTCATGTCATTGCCACAGAAACATCGAAGTAAATGGCACTTTTTAAATCATTGTCAATCATTGGGTTAAGAAAGTGACTGGGNCAGGCTAATGCGAAGTTAAAAAAAAAGGTTTTTAATCTGGTTAATTTTTCGGAAAACCATTTTCATAAAGACAAACAATATTCCGGCCAAACCGAGCTTCTTTAGATTTGCAATTCTCGTTGTTATGTGTTATTTCTT